CAATCAATCTCTATGTGCTTAGTGCGCTCGTGAAAAGTAGGATTCTGTGCTATATGTATAGCAGACAAGCTATCACAATAGATAATAACTGGCTGCAGAGCTGGCTGTTGAAGATCTTGAAGGAGATACAAAATCCACTGAACCTCACATGTGGTTGTAGCTAAAACCCTGTATTCAGCCTCTGAGGAAGATCTGGATATAGTAGACTGCTTCTTGGATTTCCAACTGATCAAAGAAGAGCCATAAAACACATTGAAACTTGTGACAGACCTTCTTGTATCAGGGCATGAAGCCCAATCAGAATCACTAAAAGCACTCAAAGTAGTGTTCTTCTGAGCTGAGAAGAACAGTCCCTGACTTGGAGCTCCTTTGATGTACTTGAGAACCCTTAGTGCAGCTGTATAATGCTCAAGCATAGGCTTAGACAAATATTGACTCAAAATGTTCACTGCGTAACAGATGTCAGGCCTAGTATTAGTGAGATAAATCAATCTTCCTATCAATCTCCTATAAGACTTAACATCCTTATAGGGGTGATCTGTGACGGCTTGGAGCTTAATGCTAGGATTCATTGGTGTTGTAACTGGCTGGCAGGCAGGCAAGCCTGAATCATCAAGTAATTCAAGATCATACTTCCTCTGTGACAAGACCAAACCTGTATGAGATCTACCCACTTCTGACCCAAGAAAGAATTTCATATTGCCTAGATCTTTGATCTTGAACTGAGCATCCAATTGAGCCTTGACATGAACAATTTCTGTCAGGTCAGAGCCAGCTAGAACGATATCATCAACATAAACCAATAAAACGGTAATATGAATAGAAGTTTTCTTGACAAACAGAGAGTAATCGGACCTAGATTGCACATAACCAAGAGCAACTAAGGAAGAAGTAAGCATAGCATTCCATTGTCTGCTAGCTTGCTTAAGTCCATATAGACTTTTTAGTAACTTGCAAACCTGTGTAGGTTGTGCAGCCTGATAACCCTGAGGTAATGACATATACACCTCCTCTTCTAGATTCCCATGCAAAAAGGCATTGTTTACATCGAGTTGATGAAGGTACCAGTTATGTACAGTAGCCATTGCCAAAACTAATCTGACTGTGGTCATCTTCACAACAGGAGAGAAAGTCTCAAAGTAATCCAAGCCATGCTCTTGTGTGTAACCTTTAGCCACCAAACGAGCCTTATATCTTTCTATGGTGCCATCAGCAAACCTTTTGATTTTAAACACCCATTTGCAACCTATGGGTTTCTTCCCTGGAGGTAAATCAGTAAGGATCCAGGTCTTAGTAGTCTCAAGAGCTTGGATCTCCAAATTCATAGCTTGTCTCCATTCCTCTGACTTAACTGCCTGAGAATAACTCCTTGGCTCAACAACCTGAGAGATTGACAAGGTATAGGCCCTATGTGATGAAGACAAGTGATCATAAGACACAAAGTTTGTTAGTGGATACAACACATTGGGAGATTGAGAAACCTGAGAATTCTGAGAAGGAACCAAAGCAAGATTACAATGATAATCTTGTAAGTAAGCAGGTTTGGTTTTGGGTCTAGAAGAAGATCTGAGAACAGGTTGTGGAGGTAGAGCAGGTTCAGGGTGTGGTAATTGTTCATCAGATAAAAAAGGAGAATAAGAGTTGGTAGGTAAAACCAAAGAATTTAGGGAAGTCACATTATGATCCTTGTCAAGATGCTGAAAAGGAAACATATTCTCATAAAAAATAACATGCCTTGACAAAAAAACCTGTCTTGTTCCCAAATCCATGAGTAAAAAACCTTTAACTCCTTCTTTCAAACCAAGTAAGATGCATTTTCTTGCTCTAGGTTTAAACTTAGTTCTATGAGCAAGTAAAGTAGTGGCATAACAAAGAGAGCCAAAAACTCTTAAGGAAGAGATATCAGGTTTGGTGTTAAAAAGAATTTGATATGGTGAAGCATTTTGCAAAACTTTTGTTGGTAGAACATTAATGATATACACTGCATGACTTACAGCATATGACCAAAACTCAAGAGATAAATTGGATTGGAAAAGCAAAGCACGAGACACATTTAATATGTGTTGGTGTTTGCGTTCCACAATCCCATTTTGCTGTGGGGTTTCCACACAAGTCAATTGATGTTGTATCCCATGCAAATTGTAGAAATCACACATTGAAAATTCAACACCATTATCACTTCTAACAATTTTCACAGATTTCTGAAATTGAGTTTTCACAAAAATAATAAAACTCTTTAAAGAAGGACGAGCTGCAGCTTTTGTATCAAGAAATTTTACCCAAGTATAACGGGATTTATCATCAACAATAGTTAAGAAAAACCTTGCACCAGTAATAGATGGAACACTATATGGTCCCCATATATCCACATGCAATAGATCAAACACATTTTCTGAAAGTGTAGTACTCAATGTAAAAGGCAATTTCTTTTGTTTTGCAAAATGACAAGTCTCACAGTGTTTATTAACAGTGGAAGATACAGCAGGATACATGGAATGTAAAATGTGATAACAAGAGAGAGAGAGGGATGGCCAAATCTATAATGCCAAATATTAGGCATACTAATTGGTGCAGAAACAACATTATTCACATAATGAAAAGTAGACAAAGGCTTAACAGTATGAAGAGGTGGTAAATCCATGACATAAAGTCCCTTGCGATTCTCAACTTTCCCAATTATCTTCAATGTGATTGTGTCCTGAATATAACAAGCAGAGTGAGTGAAGAGCACATTACATTGAAGTTGCTTGGTAAGTTTATCAATAGACACTAAGTTTACTGAAAACTCAGGAACATATAACACATTATACAATGTCAAAGTAGGTGTCAAGTATATAGTTCCTATATGACGAGCATAAGCATGTTGGCCATTTGGTAAATTAACAAATACTGGAGGTATAGCTCTATAAGAAGAGAACAAATGAAGAGAGCTAGCAAAGTGATCAGTTGCACCACAATCCATGATCCACCTTACAAACAAGTTACCTAAGGCCCTTGTGGGAGCAAGAGGGCTATTCAGCAGATTGCAAACATATTTACCTAATTCAGATGCTTGAATCTGATGATTGCTCACAAGATTGGAAGCATGAGGAGTAGCAGTAGCTGTATGCTGAGGTAGAAGAGCCAGAAGACTCTGAAATTGCTCCCTTGTAAACTCCATAGATGAAGAGGAAAGACCCTGCTCAGATTGGTCATCAGAACCACCCCCAGAAGATACATGATTGACTTTCTTAGGCTTATACCGATTGGGAAAACCAGGAGGATAACCATGCTTCATGAAGCAAGTATCCACAGTATGATTATTCCTCCCACAGTGTGTACAATGTCTCTGGCCAGAAGACTTAGCTTGACCCTTAGAATAAAATGGCTTTCCCCTGCCATATCCAGAACCATTGGAACTTGTAGAACCATTAGATGGTGAAGCTTGCACTGCTAAGGCTGAGGGATCAGCAAGTATACCAATTGACAATTGTCGCTCATGTTGAATTAATATTGAAAAAATCTTGGATAAATTTGGTAAAGGCTCCATCAGAAGAATCTGAGACCTCACAGCAGCATAGTTATCATTCAATCCACGCAGAAAACAAAGAACACAATCATTGTCCCTATACTCTTGCAGTTTCTTCACAGAATTACAGCAACAAGAGTTCGGTGTTGAACACAAGGGAATTGGGCGATAATTGCATAACTCATCCCACAGAATTTTTAACTTTGTATAGTAGGCAGTAACTGTAAGATCAGATTGCTGTAAAGTATACAAGTCAGAATTGATTTGAGAGATTCTTACTGAGTCGCCTTGAGAGAAACGGTTCTTCAAGTCCTGCCAAGCACCAGAAGCTTTATCAATCCATATGATGCTTGTTGCAATCTCCTGAGACACGGAATGATTAATCCAAGAAAGCACCAAATTGTTGCATCGCTTCCACGCTGGAAGAATCGGATCTGTATCAGTAGGACGAGGGATAGAACCATCTGCAAACCCAAATTTGTTCTTCATTTGCAGAGACATTTCCATTGCTCTCGCCCAAGCATGGTAATTGTGTAAGAATTGGAGACACCAAAACTAGAGACAGATTTTCATTCGGGTGAATGTAATAATTGTGTGTGACATCTTGCAAATTCGCAAGAGTTACAGGAGCACGAGCCGCCATTGAAGAGAAAAACAGAGATGAAGAATCGTGCAAGAATCAGAATCGCAAAAATTAGGAGCAGAATCGCACAATCGCAGAATTGCAATCGCAGAAACTCAAGAAACCCAGAAATTGAACTCTGGAAGAAGAAACGTTTCACAAATTCACTGAACAATCAAAGAAATTGTACAGAAAAATCAATGAAAACGAAGAGAAATCATCAAGAAAAAACGATGAATCTGATGAGAATGCATCGTGAAAACGATGAAAGGGAAAAGATGCAGAAAAGTTTCAAGAAATTTCAGAGAAAAATCTGATACCATGTTAACAGATGAAATAGAATGAAATCCATCTTACTTTCCATTCATGTGTTAGAATTATTTATACAAGCACTAATCAAAAAACAAACTACAACTAATCTAACTAATTCAGTTAGAGACTAAACTAACTCTAACAACCTTGCTGACTCAGCAAGTATACAATAAATAATATATGAATAATCAATCTCTATTACAACATTCAGAAAAAAAAGTTTAAATCTAAAAGAAAAGGGCTAGCTTTAGTAGCCTATTAATTTTGCAATGGTAAACTAAATGCTAAAATATTATTTGAAAAGAACCAAAGGTGAAGTGCAGATGGAGCATTTGCTAGTGCTACCAGTAGCGACATGAGAAACAAGAAGATACTTTGCAAGATAAACTTTTTTTTCTAAGCAATGAGATTTGTTTTAAAATCAAGCACAAAAGGGTGCTTAACCCAATACACCAAAGAAACTCAAAATCACGCACAAACTCCATGCACAACTAACAATATGCAATTTGCGGACAAGAGAACCAAACATCTCTATCGAAAGAAAGTGAACCTTTTGATCTAGCACCTAACCAATTCCAAAATAACAAAATTCAAGAGAAGCAAAATAGCTTCCGCTTCTTTGATTCCGCCATTGAAAAGAATGTCGTTACGCACGAGCCAAATTGCCAAAGTGGTGGACATCCAAATTAAGATTCTAAACTTCTTGCCGGATATCTCCTTCATCAGCTTCTTAAATTGGAATAAATGATCCACCAGGGACATGTCTACATCTTCCACAAACAAGTTAAGCCAATTGTAAATTATGTGCCACACTATTACAGCAGCCAAACACTGAATAAACAAGTGCATATGTGATTCCTCAAGGCCCAAACAAATCAGACACACCAAATTATGATGTCGCCACAACACTCCCCACTTTGCCAACTCAACATTTGTTTGCAGTCTATTGAGAATGAATCTCCTCACAAATGTTTGTATATTACTCTGGATGTTGGAAGACCAAAGAAGCCTAAGAGCACTTGCCTTGTTAACATGAAAAGTGAAAGTAACAGGCGGAAAACATTGCAGTGTTGCATAAGCAGCTCCAGAACTATCATATCTATGTCCCGATTTGGAAATATGCTTATCAAAATCTCGTCTAGTTCCCTTGCATTCAGAAAATGCAGCAATCGAATGTTGCAGCAGGAAAAAAATCCACATTACAAATCCAACTGCCCTGCAGCCAGCAACCAACATAATTAATTTTATCTCAGATCCCTTTCGCAACACCACCTGTTATTCCAAAAATCTATCTCAGTCCCCTCTTCAAAATTGCAATTAACACTACTTCCAAACCAACCTCTGTTTTCGTCTGCAGAACCAATTTCAAGCCTTATCTTGCCACCATAGATATTGTTTTTGCACGTTACAACCCACGAATGATCCAAAACTAAACCCTTAATATTAAATTAAACTTGTTCATATAAAGATGAACTGTTCTTGTTTATAAAGAAAACTCTTCAAGAAAAACACACTTACAGTAACTCATGTTCCGACACAACATTAAGCACAGCGAAAATAACAAATAGTCACAATTTAGATTAAGAATTGGAATCATCTATTAATAACTCAGAAAAGCAAGTGCAAAAGCTGAGTAATATTGCACAATACATATCAACATAAAGATCCAAACAACAAGAAACCCTAATCGATACACCAATCCCTAATTTTCTAACCCCCAAATCCATAAAGAGTCCTTCCCTGTCTCTTGAGAGCGTAAACAACGTCCATCGCAGTAACAGTCTTACGGCGAGCGTGTTCGGTATATGTAACAGCATCACGAATCACGTTCTCGAGAAAGATCTTGAGAACACCGCGAGTTTCTTCATAAATCAACCCACTGATACGCTTCACGCCACCACGTCTTGCGAGACGACGAATTGCAGGCTTTGTTATTCCTTGAATGTTGTCTCTGAGAACCTTACGGTGTCGTTTCGCTCCTCCCTTTCCAAGACCCTTTCCTCCCTTTCCTCTTCCAGACATTGCTCAAATTTCTTGAGTTTCTTTCTCTCTCTCTTTTGCTATTGAGCTAAATGTGAAGAAGAAGGTGAATGTGAATGCTGAAATAGAAGCGAAAATTCAGAATATTATATAGGGTAAGATTGCGTTATTTTGACGGTTGGATTTGTAACGATCCGTGTGAGAGAAGAAGTTAAAAGATAGAGCGTTGGATTTAAAGTGCTTGATTTTGATTGGTGGAAACAATATAGTGCGGATCGATGAGGTGTGAATTTATTTTTTGTCTAAATGAACCCGCCAACTATCACAAAAATTTATTTTGAAAATTTCTCAAATTTAAATAATTTAATAAAAATGTACTGAAAGTATAAAAAAATAAATACATATTATTTTGGAATATCATATAAATAATTTATAATTTTCAATTTAATTTTATAAAATTAATAACCATCATTGATCAATAGTGTAAAATTAATTTACTAACTCATGCAATTTTAAACCTCCTGTCTTATTGGACCTGAATTCAATATCTGAGTTAAGGACCCTTCTATTAACACCCCCTTTTTACCACCTTAACATAATTTACACTCCCACGTTTTTTAAAATTATTTTCTTATTATTTTGCAATATTCATTTTTTATATATTTTCTATTTTATATATTTAGCATATTGAATGTTATTTAATATTATTCTATAAATCATAAATTTTTAAACACATTATGCATTTAAATAAAGATGTTTTCTACAATTAACATATAAAAAAATTCAACTAACAATAAATCATTTTTCATAACTAAATTAACTCAACAATTAATTTTAGAAAAAGATTATGAAGTATATTTTAATTAATCACGTGCTTTGTCTAAATATCTCTGCTATTCACACACTAAGTATGCGGGAAATTCACATATCTTCGTAATCCATAAAAAACACAAATCAACTGCGAACTACGAATTGGGACTCTGATTCCTCCTAAGATGACATGTAGGTATACGAGTAAAATCATGGTGAGTTTCCCTAATAAAAAACTAAAACCTTATTCTCTAAATATTAATTATAAACCTAGTATCTTGTGAACAAGGTAGATGAGTGGTGCATAACATCTTCCCTTCCTTTAAAAACGAGTCTAAACCTAGAATCTCTAACTTATTCAGGATTATTACTTTATATTTCCTTCCTTAGTGTTGTACCCCAAAATTTGCCCTCTCATTTTACTCAAAACATACTCCTAGAGATCCTCAATTTGCTCAAGTTTGCCCAAGAGTTGACCAGACAAACTCACTCATAAGACAGTGTGTCTCAAATTAGGGTTTCCACTTTCATCAAGATGTGTGGATCACAAAGGCTCCAAATGCTCTCCAAGGCCATAATATTTTCCCAAGATTCTCCATGTCAAGTCTCATGCCTTGCACAAGAAGTTTGCTCAGTCAACTACTTAGATGCTTGAGAATCGACTGTATTAGGTCAAAAGTCAATTGTGGCCCACATATAATCAAACTTCAAGATATTTTGTCAACATCAACATTTTGAAGATATATCCATCATTTTATCAAGGGTGGATCATGATTCCTCAAGGGATGCCCCAAATTCATCAAAACCCAAAAGTTGTTAAATTAGGGTTTCATAGGAAAAGTCAACCAAACTTTGACCAGACATAACTTCTTCATACTTTATCAAAAAATTTCCATCCAAGGCTCATTTTGAAGAGGATGCAATTCCCTACAACTCATCTCTAACCCACAAGTTCAAAATATGCACTCGTCAAAAGATATGAATTTATACATTATAGATCCTTTTGAAAAGTCAACAAAAACACCTTTTGGGTCAAAGCTTCTTACATGAACATGGAAGACCCAATTGAGATGAAACAAAAGGGTTGTTTAGGGTACATCCTAAGATTTCTAAAAAGTCCAAGAACACCCTCTTAAGGTTAAAATTGATGGAGATACGTATTGTCAAAATTGACCAATTTTTTGAAATGTGCATGAAGTCAATATTGATCAAAATGACTTTTTTTTTCCAAATGGGCCCATGTTTTCTTGTTTGAAACTTGTTCCTAAGATGGCCCACGACCCCTGAACTTATCCACCTATTATTTTATTATTTTTATTATTTATTTTGATTTTTTATCCATTTAAATCAAAATAAATCAATTTAAATAGTAGAATAATCAAATAAAATCAAAGATTTGATTTTATGAGCATATTATGAGTCCATGAACAGCTAGCAAATCAAAAAATTCGTGCAAGAGCTAATTGATTGGAAAAGATCTTAATTTGGTCTATTTTGGAAACAAATCATACAAGGCAAAGAATGAAATCAAATCTCCATAATTTGCAAAGATATGATCAATTTTTGTTGACCTAAATCATTCTATCATATATACCTAACATCTCTAAAGCATAAAAAAGGGTTTGGGGTCGTGAAAACAAGAGGAAGAAATTGCAAATTTTGGAAGAAAAAGTGCAGACCGTATTCTCTTCCATAGGCCGTTTCAAGTAATTCCAAAGCCAACAATTTGTTCCTGGACGTGTTCTGTGTTAGAACAAAGTTTGAATCTACTACCCTAAGTTAAAGTTTTGATGATAACAAAATGAAATATTAAATAAATTGCATAAGTCATATGAGACATATATGCTACCTAAAAATTATATTGTGCATTTGCAGAAACTCTGATGAATAATCAGCATAAGAAAGTCAACATCAGCATCAGAATATGAAATTTCATATGCCAGCGTCAGAAGATGAAATATCATATGCCAGCATCAGAAGATCAAAGCATGTGCTTACGCTGAAGCTTGATGATCAGATTTGCGCTTAATATACTCTAAACTCTGATTAAGACCAAAACAATATCATTAGCACTTAGAAGCGTCAGAATAAGCTAAAGCCAAATAACGCACTGAATTGGCAACGGTACTGTGCATTCAAGACGCTTTATTACCAACGGCTGCATTCCAAGACAAAGATCTTCTCAATACGGAAAGAACGTAATGGGCATTGAAATGGAATAATTGACTACAACGTATCTTTTCCAAGGCTATAAAAACAAGACAGTGAGAAATGTATTGGCTAATGCTCTACAACTCTTTACACGCCTAAAGCAAATCATCATCATCCTCACTCATACAGTTTGCTATATCTCTCAAATTGCTTACTCTAGTTATAACATCCTAGTTTCACATAAGCTTAATTTGTGTAATATCACAGTTGTGATATAAAGTTTTGTAGAAAACATTCAACACATAGTATTCACTTATCTGTAAGAAAGAACTCCCTTGAGAAACCGGTCTGTGGTTTAGACTCAAGAAGGCTTTAGAAGTTGTTAAAACAGTTGTAATATTCAGTTGAATATAGTGGATTAAGACCTCGTTGGAGAGAGGCGAAATCACCTTGACGGGTGGACTGGAGTAGTTTGAGATCAAACGAACCAGGATAAAAATATCGTGTTGTCTGCATTTGATTTCAAGTTTTACAATTCAACCTCCCTTCTTGTGTTTTTCACTTCTTCAATTGGCATCAGAGCGCCTGGTTCTGAGCTAAAACACTTAACCGTGTCAGTACAAGATCCAGCGTCAGAAAAACACAATGGCAGGAATATATCAACACACCAGCAATGACAATAATGAAGATAGAGACAGATTCAGTGGCAAACCTCCAGTCTTTGATGGAGAGAATTTTGATTACTGGAAAGACAGAATTGAAAGCTTCTTTCTGGCACATGATGCTGATCTGTGGGACATGGTGACAGATGGATACATGCACCCAGTGAAGGCAAGTGGTCGGAAGATTGACAGGAAGGCAATGTCTGATCAACAAAAGCGTGACTTCAAAAATCACCACAAGGCCAGAACTATTCTTCTCAGCGCCATCTCTTACGCTGAATATGAAAAGATATCTAACAGAGATACTGCAAAGAACATGTTTGACTCCCTCAGAATGACGTATGAAGGCAACATTCAGATCAAAGAAACTAAAGCTCTTGCGCTCATTCAGAAGTATGAGGCATTCAAAATGGAAGAAAGTGAATCAATTGAAACGATGTTCTCAAGATTTCAAATTCTGGTGGCTGGTCTCAAAGTTCTGGACAAAGGGTATTCTACTGCTGATCATGTCAAAAAGATCATCAGAAGCTTGCCAAAACAGTGGAGGCCAATGGTTACAGCGCTGAAGCTAGTTAAAGATCTCAACAAAATATCTCTGGAGGAACTTATCAGCTCCCTCAGAAGTCACGAGAT